CTTGATTCCAGCTCATTAATCATCATAATAATCAGCTAATAATCGTGCTCTCGCGTGCACAAACACCAACACACAATCTGTGTTTTCCTGGATTTCATTTAAAGGGTTCATTAAGAGTTCAACCATCACAAACCCAGTCAAACCAACTCGACTGTTTCAAAACAGCTTTACAGAACATTATGCTAAACCGTTATAATAAAATATGTAAATTCTGTCCTCATTAACTCGCCCTCATGTCGTCCCAAACTCGTCAGACTCTCGTTCATCTTCAGAGCTCAAATATCTGAATGGATCTGACAGATTTCTGTCTCTCCTCCATCAGTCTACACAACTACACTATCCACAAGAACCAATGAGCATCACACGAACATGAACACGGTAAACACGGTACCGCAGTAAACACAGTAAACACAGGCTGTGGAAGCGTGAAGACGGAGGTTAATGTGTTAGTGTTTGTGCTCTTCTACGCTAATGGGTTTGACCACTTCAATACATTTACGCTCTCCATCACAGAGGAAGCCATCGACCCGAAAACACTTCAGCCGATCCGGCCGGAGAACACGCTTATCTTTACGTCCCAGAGACTCTCGGGTCAAAGAGCAGAAAACAAGACCAGCAGCTTCATATGACACACACACACACACACACATCCATCAGCTAACGAGACCCCTTCAGATATAAATCCTCACACTCACATTAGCAGTGAACGCTCTCGGACGGGTCCAGCAGTTATCTGCTCTTCCAGAATGTTCTCAAAGCGTTATTTAGACGTCATTCATGAAACACTCTTTACCAGTTGGACGTCCCATCTAAGATTTTCTAAATGTTAATACTTGTTTTACAACGTTCAGAGAACATCCAGAAGTAACGTTTGAAGATTGGTAAAGTTGAACGCTCCTATAACCAATAAAACACATTTTTAAACCGTTTATAAACTGGATGTCTAATCCACTTCTAAATGAGTCTCTCCCTTCAGGCCTGCGGCACACGCTAAAAATACCTTCAATATCACAGAAGATCAGAGCATGTGCTGACAGCAGAACCTGAAGATCCACCAGGAAATACTAATCCACCAGTTCATCACATCATTCCAACCAGCTGTGGACAACCAGTAATCAATCCAATCAGCTTGAGTTGGAGACCTATGTATATATATATACTCGTTTGACTCACCAATGTTCCTCGACAGTTGTCCCGCCTCCTCACACTCGCCTGGTTACTTCCTAACCAGTAATACGGGGGGAGTGCTCTGGGTTCGAGCTCGTAGCCCTCCCTCCCCCCGGACAGCACACCAATATGCTTTCAGTTTATTCTAAGTGTGTGAAACATTAGTCAAGTGTGGTCACAAACTAAAGCTGAACACACTCACATACACACAATGCCATGACCTCTGACCTTTGGCGACATCATTCCCGACCTCTGACCTATACCTATATCATCACTTCCTGATTTGAGAGCATCAGGTAGATGGAGGAACGAGACCCTAGCAACCATATTTTAAGAACCTACCAACCATTCACAACACCTAAGCAACTGTGCACAACACCCTAGCAACCATGCACAACACCTAGCAACCAAGTGCAACACCCTAGCAACCATGCACGACACCCTAGCAACCATGTAGAAGACTGTCTCATTATGACGTGAGTTCAGGACAGGCTAAAGCTCTTACACACACTCACACACACACACACACACACACACACACACACACTACAATAAACACAAACACAGTTTGATCTAATCAGTGTTGTTTTTTGTGTAACCACACACTCTCTCTCTAACTCACATACACACACACACACACTTTTCAATTAAACCCCAGTGGTGTGTGTGTGTGTGTGTGTGTGTGTGTTTGTCTAATCCTTCCATTCCATTAGTGAGAATCGATCTGGCCGCTGGAAAACGCTGACTAATCTGCAAGAGCTGTGTGTGTGTGTGTGTGTGTGTGTGTGTGTGTGTGTGTGTTGAACATGAAACTGTCACACTCACACAGATTAAACTCTGTTTAAGTGTTTCTACATTATGAGTCTGTGTCCTGTTACGTGCCTCAAGGAGAATATGTGTGTGTGTGTGTGTGTGTGTGTGTGTGTGTGTGTGTGTGTGTGTGTGTGTGTGTGTGTGTGAGAGTGTGTGAGACAGTAAATGTGCGTCGCTTCAGTTTGTCTCCTGCTGCTCATTAAATGCCAGCGCTGTCAATCAAACTCAAGTGGCTTTATTGTTTGCGTGAGTAAGTGTGTGTGTGTGTGTGTTGTGCGGAGCGACTGAGTGTGTGTGTGTGTGTGTGTCATGCAGAGTGTGTGTGTGTGTGTGTGTGTGTGTGTGTGTGTGTGTGTGTGTGTAGTGAGAGAGTGTGTGTTTGTGCGTTTTGTGCGGAGCGAGTTATTTGTGTGTGTGTGTGTGTGTGTGTGTGTCCCGCCGGACAGTTATTGCACAGATGCATGCTGGGAAGAGCAGTTTCAGGGCCGCTCTAGAGTTCACACACTGATAAGTAACACTGTTACACACGGCTGATGTTCTCAGAACGCTCTCTCGAGGTTCTCAAAGTCACGAACAAACGTTCTTCAGTAACGTTAAAAGAACGTTCGTTCAGAGTTATCTGGTCTTTAATAACGTTTCAAAACGTTAGCACAAAACATTATTTCAGGAACTTTTTTCTAAAATATATCATTTGTCTGCTGTTTTTAACACTGCTTGTTTCAGAATGTTTAGAGAACATGCAAAAGTACCACATTCTACATTGGTACTCCTCAACATTCACATCAACGAGAAGAAGAAGAAACATCTGAATGCAGACGTGACCCGTATGACCATAACACAGCTGAACACATGGAGCTGTAGTGATCATGCCATCAACACGCCACACACACACCTCACAAACGCCACACACACTCAATCCTCACTAACTTTATCTGGACAGTAACTGTATTCTAGATCTGCTGTAAAGTGTAAACTCTCTCCTGTTATCTCTGTAGAGCTGCTGTAGAACATCTATAGTGTTAAAGCGCTGGATAGATGAAGGAGACTCGACTCCAAACCGTTAACCAGCACTAACACACACACACACACACACACTTCATGATCTGAGAAACAGACTCTCATCAAAACAACTATGTTACATTTTGTCAAATCCCAGTTTTGTTGCACATCATCACTGCTAACATGTGACACAATGTAACACACACACACACACACACACACGACATAACCCAGCAGAGTCAGGGTTAGTTCTCATCTTAGATCAACAATATTACTACCCAAACTGCGTATTGTAATTTTAATAAACACAACAACTTTTCACAACGAACAGAAATATTAAAGGTCATGCTGGGGTCCTGCCATTGGCTGATGCGCCTGAATAATTCATGAGGAACATCTATGAATGGTTTGGGGGTTGTTTTTAATATTTTCATTTATAAATATGTCCATTAACCGGACACATACAGTCAGTGTCACACATGACCTACACATGCGTGTACAGTAGGGTCATATATGACGTGTAGGATCATATATATAGGGTTCTGTCTCCATACACGCCCTATAGAGGTCCACACATCATATATATGCCAAACATCAACATCAAATCTGAATCTATAACGCGCGTTCGGACAGGAGGAACGGTGAGATGCATGTAAACATCGGGATCGCTGTCTGATGCTCATGCATGTTTTATATCTCATAAACGATCATCTGGAGCGATGAGACGTGCGCGCGACAGGAGGAATCAACGCAACTCACACTCATTACTACACACACAAACACACACCCATTACTACACTCTCATTATTACACACATCAAAGCTAAACATCGGTGTTTGTGAGACAGGCGCGTGCGTCTGCATTGCGGTACGTGTGTGTGTGTGTGTGTGTGTGTCAGCATCCTCCTCCTCCTCACACCCTCGCCGCATCTCCTCGCGCACAGGAACCGTCAGTAAACGCGTTCTCACCTGCAGAAGCGGCCGTTCCTCCGTTCACCTTCAGCTCTCGCGCCCGTTCCGCAGCGCGTCGCGGCACTGACTGACTGACAGCGCGGGCTCGCGCGCTCCGACGCGTCTCGGCGGAGCTCCTGATTGGACAGGTTGCGGTGACGGGCACGTGAAGGAGCCGAGGAGAGCCGCTGATTGGCTGATTCACCTGTCAGTCAATGATACAAGTGTGTTTGTCACGAGCAGCCGACACATAAAAATACACCTGATCCATCTCTCTCTCTATCTCAGTCTCTCTCTCTCTATCTCTCTCTCTCTCTCTCTCTCTCTCTCTCTCTCTCTCTATCTCAGTGTCTCTCTCTCTCGTCCTATCTTAGTTTTCATTAATTGGGTTTATTATGATATAAACTGTAGGCTACTCTCTTTTTACCTGTGTAATATGAAATTAATAAATAACGTTATTTGTTCACTGTTCATAGAGAGTTTTTCGGAAACATTTTAATTGGACATTCTAATGTATAACTTGATACTTTTTCAGAACGTCCAGAAAACATTCCAAATGTTTGCAAACTGATACATTGAAACGTTCATTTGGTGTTTTCTCTAACGTTCACAATAACCAAGACAAATAAGTGTTTTAAATATTTATAAAAGTGAGGTTTTGAACACTCTGGAACAGGCCTAGCCTGAAGAGAACAGCAATGACAGTAATATCAGGTCGCTCCGTCCATCACTGCAGATGAAGACCACACATCAGGTCAAAGGTCAAAGGTCACGCTTGATTAAGATGAGCTCGTTTAGATCCTGTCCAGATTAACATCTGACGATCAGAACTGAGACGAATGACAGAGAGTGTGTCTGACTCTGAGAAACGAGAGACGCATCAATGTCAGATCAATACCACACACCAGAGACCCCCGTCACACACACACACACACACACACACACACTCTCTCTCTCTCTTTCTCTCTCTCTCACACACACACACAGAGGCAGCGGGGTAACTGTGCTGTGTGGGGGCGGGGTAACTGTTTAGAGGGGGAGGGGCTGGGGGGGGGGTTCAGTCGTCATGGAAACCATCAACACTGCACTAACGTGATTCAATCTATTCATGACTGAATGGGCTTCAAACGGGCAAATAAAAGCAGCAAGCGTCCGAGAGACGTGATTGGACGACATCAAAGCTGAGCGGTCACATCTGATTTGATGTTGCTAAGACACAGAGAGCAGAAGAAAGAGAGAGGGAGAGAGAGAGAGAATGGTGTTTAAAATCAACTTACAATCACCATTAAATCAAAATGGACATTTCTTGTTCATGGTTTTGCAGAGAATATAAAACATGATTTATCGGCGCACATCATTATTGTTTTACAGTCCGCCTGTGGTGAAAATAATGTTGTTTATGTGTGTATGTGGTGTTTTTAATACGCGTTAACACACACCATGTGTAAGTTCATAAGTCGACAGCATTGCTGAGTGTTTCCTTCTAAAACTGTGAAATCGCTGGTGTTTCTGACGTCACAAACCACCTTGTAACCAATCAGATCAACGTGCGATCGTCAACCAGTGCATCTCTGAGTTAGTAAGTGAGTGGAGGCGGGACTCATTTGCATATTCATAGAACATTCATTGACATGGATGTCTTGTAAAGATGATAAAGAGTATATGGTTGAGATCAGCCAATAGCTCACCTGTTCCCTCCTCAGTAACATTCACATTTACAAGAAATGAGTCTTGCATTTGGTGTTGAAAAACACTGACGTATCAACAGTAAGAGAGGCACAGCCCGTGGCATTCACCTGGTAGGAGAACAAAGACACAATTAAGTCAAGCACAGGCAAAAGGAAAACCCTCATTGGTAAGGCAGGAGTCACACACCTGCGGTTTGAGTCAGGCACTGTCTGGTCATGATGAAGCAGACTGTATGGAAATGGATCACGGCACACTTCTCTAAAGCTTGCCCAGGTACAGGTTGGCCATATACGTGATGGAGAGTAAAGGATGACAGAATGTAACTGTGGCTTTAATAAAGACGACTGACTCTGATTACAAGTGAGAATGAGTTTCTAAAACAGCTTCAAAATCTCATCTGGAGAAAATCAACTGAGCCCAAACCTGTGAGGATGAACTGCTGTTGGGTCAGTGCTCTCAGCCGACACTAGAGGGAGACAAAAACCAGCAGAACACAAACATCTCTAGCACTACAACTTAAAATAATAATACAAAATAAGACAAACTAGATTTCAAAGAAGCTAAAATAACTGAAATGCAAGATATTTCTAATGTTAAATTTACCATCTCATCAACTGCTTTTTTATCTTTGAAGAACCAGGATTCTGTGATATTTGAGAAACTTCATTTTAAAAGTATGATTTCTAGAAATGGAACATTTCAATTACAATTTGAAAACATACATTTTTTATGATCAACCCTATTTATAGGCTACATTGATGTCTAATTTGTAGTTTCTTAAAGAACTTATTTTAAGAGGAATCCAGTAAATTTCAAATGACTGTGAAAATCATGCAAATTCATCAGTAAAAAAGAGGAACCCTGAAGAACGTCTGCAACCCTGACATGTAATTCTTTCAATTATTTTAGTGACTTGTTTAAATCTCTGGAAACTCCTAGTTTTGAAAACAAATCCTTGTCATTACAACAGATGATCATCATCCTCATCCTCATCAGATCGTCTAGAGCAGGTCGAGATGCTTTAGTTTAATTTCATCTGTTGATACTGAGAATCCGCCACAAAATGATCAAAAACTGCATCAAGCAGCTAGTGTTGGAATTACAGACGGCTAAATGTGTGTGTGTGAGGAAAGAGAGAGTGTGTGCCAGCACTGTGACTGACACACACACACACACACACAGCAAGTGTTGGACAGATGGCTCTCTCTTTCTCTCTTCCAACACTGAAATGGCAATGACAGAAATAAGCACTCCGGTCTTCTATGATACTCGCTGTTGTTTGTGATGTTCTTTCCGCTTCAGATCCAGAATTCACTAGAATCTCTTGTTGCTCCCAAAATCTAAAAATAACCGAGCCTTGTTATGGAACAAAATATCCCAGTACTGAGCCTTGTGGTACACCATACTGAACTTTATAGGACATCTCTTCATTCATTCTGAACTCCATTCAACACACACACACACACACACACACACACACACACACACACACAGAGGGAGTAAGAAACAAGAAATGAGTCAAACAGAAGAGATGTATAATGCAATACATTTATTCATTCCATATTATTCTGCATATTGTACTTATAGAGGCTGAAATATCATGAGACGTGTGGTTAGTAGATCTCTGACAGATTAATCATTACAGTACAAAATCCCTTTACAAACCAAGAGCTGCGGTACATTATAAAACATGAGATAAATACTGAATAAAACACTGAAGAAACTAAAGCACAGCAGACACACACACACACACACACACACACTTCAGTCCTCAAGCCAAACAAACTCTCGCTATATTTACAGTAACAAAATATCTTTACAAAACAACATTTAACATTTCAAATTCAAACTTGATGCAAGTTATGAAAAAAGCATAAAACATCTTTCATACACACAGTTCATTTCAATGAGCTGACCTACAAAAACTGATCAAGGCAAAATAGAATTAGAGTGAATTACATGAAAAAGAAAAATCTGATATTTTAAAGAATATTTTATGCATCAAGAAAATGAAGTATATTTTGTCCATCGCAGTAATGAGGATTCAATCTCTTCTAATTCTACGGATTAAAAGAATTTGGGTATTTAATCGTCATAAAATAACCTTGCATTCAATGTAAGGCAATGCAAAGAGAAAAATGCTTTATTTTCTTTATCTAAAATATAGTTTAAGTTGTTTTCCATTGATTGTGGGAGGAAAATATAAGCCAGATATTCTGAATTTGACCCCATAGAGATGAACTGTAGGCGCACATGTTAACATTAAAGAGCTCTGGTCAGCACATGACCTCACATGTGGCGTGTGAACGCATTCAGGTAGATGAAGCATCACCATCCTCATCCTCACAGGGTTGCTATGGGAACTGCACAGGTTCACATGCAGGTCAGGGTGCGGGTCATGTGACGTGATGATGCGGAGGTGTGATATCAGAATATCGGATGTGTTCGCGTCACATGACCTCATCCGTGAGGGTCACTCAGAGTCTAACTCAATCTTGGGGGAAAATGTTGAATTCTGACAGACTTTACATTTTCATTATTGATCAAACTGTACAGTATTCTGTGCAAAGATCCTCCTCAGTGTTTCTGTCTCGTTTTCCAGCACAAATATCTAAACTTTCTTAAATCAAGATACATTTACTGGAGAAGAACAACGACTGAAGATAACTTACTTCCTGAAAAATCATCAAAACGATGAGAGTTTGTGCTTAAAACTATTAAGTACAAGTCTTCGGGACAAAGTTTTATGTTAGTTTGACAAAGTCTTGTCTGAAAGTCTGAAGGTTTTATAAGCTTCTTAGCATGTTGTTAGCATGCGTTGAACGTTATTTGCTATCATGTTTTATTACATTGCTAGCATGAATGAGTATGTTGCTAACATGTTTTGACACATTGCAAACGTAAATTAGCACATTGTTAGCATGATTTAACATGTTGCGAACATTAATTAGCCCAATGCTATCATGATTTAGCATGTTTTCTAACATGTTTTGACACATTGATGACGCAAATTAACATTGCGAGCATGATTGAACAGGTTACTAAAATGTTTTAACATGATTTAGCATGCGGCTAACATGAATTAGCACAGTGCTATTATGAATGAGCATGCTTGTTAACATGATTAATGTGTTGCTAACATGATTCAGCATGCTAGCATGTCTTAAGCTAGTTACCATGGCTTTGCTAGTGATAGATAGGCCTACTCGGTGGGAGTTATTGTGTAAAAGTTTTGAGCCCCTCAGTGTAAGTCTATGGGATTTTTCGGGGTTTGATCGTCTGTTTACAGTTTAAATTTAGTCTCAGAAGAAGAAGAAGCTTGAATAGTATTTCAGCACGTTTGCACAAACCAAGATCTGCTAACGAGGTCAGAAAGCTCCCCCTTTATTTTGTGTTGCAGAGCGAGTGTGTGTTATAGTGGTCTGGGGTCAGTCCTACACCAGCGAGTTGATGACCGGAGACGGGGGCCCCGATCTGCCGCTGTACTGACCGATGAAGGAGCCGTCCTCGTTGAACTGCGTGTCCCCGGAGTCGGCGTACTCCACTAAACTGTCCTCGCTGCCGTCGCGCGGGACCGTCCCGCTGGAGGGCGTCCGGCTAACTCTGAGCGGCTTACGGTCCTCCTCACTGCGAGAGAAACCACAGGTCAACCACGAGGCAAACGTTGCAGACATCACACGCTCCAAACATCTGCACAACCCCAAACTCATCTTTTTCAAATTAAGAGTTCGTCAGAGGGGTCCAAGACTCTGGACTTTTGTCGCACGTGAACTTAAAAATTTATGGATTCGAGGTTTTGTGGTTGAACTTTTGAGAAGTAACTCTCCTTCCCTCTCGGTTCAATCTCACTCCGTTAGGAATGAGTGGAATGATTCAGTACACAAAAAAAACAAAAAATGCTCAAAATTAAATGTAAAAATTTGCTAAAAATTATTTTATAATATCTACGTGTGTATCTGGATGCACACTGAAATGAACGGGCTTTAGGACCCAGCGGAACAGCTCCTCTGCTCCATATAGAGCTATAAGCCCATCTAGAGTCATGAAATATAATGGGAATGGGCTTAAATTACTATTTCAAATCTAGTAAATGCATAAAAATATAATCAAAATTAAATAAAATCAACTTTCTGGACAAAAAAAATCAAGTATAATTTGAGTTCTTGTGGTCATGGTGACCGGCGAGGGAAGGAGGAGGGTTACGGATGTTCAGATGTTTGTGCTGGAAACACTGAGGAAGAGCATGATGATTTCAGTGAACTCGAGGCCCAACATGAAACACACGTGCACATTTAAAACCACATACACAGGTGTTAAAGCTTTAAATCATCTGATTTATGATCAACCATCAGACGATGAAGCATCCGAGCGTGAAGATGAAGAGTGACCTCAGGAGCGCTGAAGCAGCAGCAGACCCGACCCGTCACACACACACACACACACACACACACACACACACACGACGACTGATGGACATGTGGACACACTTCCCCTGAATCTCCTGTCCTGTGCTGCTGGACCACTGCCTCAGTCCTGATGACCATCACTAATGTCATCTATTCCACTATATCTCAGCTAATGTAATCCCACTACTTTCTGATTACTCGTCTATCACAGATTATTCTGCACCACGCTGATATAAAACCATAAACAAAACAGAAATTACATTCTTTACCATGAACTTTAAGTGCATTACACATCACAACACATAAGAGATCATGAAAAGCTTATACTCACATAAAAATGGCACAAATCATAATCATAAAATAAAAAATAAATATTTTTTACTTAAAAAAAACATTTAGTAAAAAACACGCCTTTTTTGTTTACCTGCAAAATATATTTTGTTTAATATAATAAGTGTTTATATTTTAAAATATGTTTTCCGCTAAAAAATGGAAAATAAAAAAGGTCATTTTTGACGAGATATAAACTCGCAATTGTGAGATAAAACGTCGCAATCATCTTTTTAAAATGTTTTAATCTGTGGCGGAAACAAGCTTCCATTAAAAGACATTTTGCAGGTAAAAAATAAAAAATAAAATATATATATTAGTAAGTGTTTTTTTCCCAATTTTTGTAAAACTGTTACTAAAATATATATATCACTTTTGTTTGCCCACAAAATTATTTTTTTAAAAAGCTAAATGCACAGTAAAAAAAAAAAAAAAAACCCCACAAGATTCAGGGAATAATCTACTGTGTGAATAATATGTGATCAATAAAAAGGAACAGTAATCTGATGATACGCTTTGAAAACTGTGATGTGATCGAATTACAAGCGCTTAGTGTGATCAGTTACTCTGGGCTCGGCTGACTCAGTCTGCGCTTCAAGAGAAGTGTGATCCTGGAATGACTGTGTTTCTCCCAGTGGATCCGCATGCAGATTCCCGCTTACCTTCCGCCCGGACGTCAACATCACACACTGAGATCAGCGAGGAGTGTGTGTGTGCATCTAGCGCACACTACGGGACTGAAGCTCGACACACAGAGTAAGTCTGAATGATGGTCTACTACACACTCATATTCTGCTTCTATAGATGTGGGTTTGTGCTCTGGAACAGAAGCTTGCATGTCAGTCATATTCACATCACGTGACGCGACGAGCAAAGATCGACATCTACTGCAATCATCTCAAAAAATCAAGGGAATCGTTTAATGATATAAAAGAATATTGCTGTACAGGAGTAAAGTGCGTGGGCCGTCTCGCGTGAGGAGACTGTAATGTTCAGTGGGACTACACTAAGATCATCAGAAATATAATCGGATGCAGGAAAACACGTGCGGATCTGGAGTTCATCAAAGCTGATCGTCCTGTAAACCCGATCAAGTCCTCAGAACCCGGATCAGGTGAAGATCAAGAGGCAGAATCCCAGAGTCGTGGAGAAGCGCTGCCTGCGCAGGTGTGGTCTCCTGAGGGGTCAGAGGTCAGGGGTCAGGGGTCAGCGCTCTCTCACCTGTACTCTCCAAACATTATATCGTCCTCCTTCATGGGCTGGACCTCCGGGTCTCCGTGAGCGTCTTCCTTCTCTTTAACTGAGACAAACATCAGCGATCAGAGATCAGAGTCACACACACACACACTGAATGCAGAAATCTTCTTCTTGTGATGACATCACAGCTCGAGCAAGACCAGCATTAGTGGTTAAAGTATATAAATGTGTATTTTGCTGTAAATGTCGCTGGTTTGTCCAGATCAGACTCTTATTCCTCGGCAGGATCGTGTCGAGACTTTGAAACTCACATCCGACCCCATTGAACTCACTATAACCCTGGAGTGTGTTCCTCAAAAACTATTTCTTAACGAAAATATTTTTTCGACTAAAGAAAGACTTGAACATCTTGGAGGACGTTGAGGAGAGTAAACTATCAGGACATTTGAATCCTTCAATACTAAGACCATAAAAAACACTTTCGCTACTTGAACCAAATGAAATGTTAGTTGGCGATACGTAACATTAATGTCTGCTAAACTAAAGGATTAAATATACGTGTCAACACAAGTCTCACCTGGATATTTCCCGCCTTTGTTCCTCTTGATGAAGCAGACGATGAGGAGGATGAGGATGAGGAGAGCGATGGCCGACATCAGCCCGATGAACCAGCCCTGAGTGGCGATGTCCACCTGCGGACTCACCATCGCTGAGGAAGAGGAGGAAGAGGAGGATGAGGATCACCAACACACGAGGGACGAACGCTCAAACACACTCAAGCACACTTAATATCTTCAGTCGGTTTCTCCAGTACATGTACCTTGATTTAAAGGTGACATATTATGCCCCAAAACGTAATATATCTGTATGGTGTCCCCAGACAATGTCTGTGAAATTTCAGCTCAAAATGCCATCAGATCATTTATTATAACTAGTCAAATTGGTCCCTTTTTGGGTGTGAGAAAAAAAACTAAGTTTGTGTGTGTCGCTTTAAATGCAAATGAGCTTTAGCCCCGCCTCCGTCCAGAAGAGGGCGGAGCCTTCACACGAGCTTCAGAGACTCCGGCAATAACAGCACAGGCGGATCTGACTGATCCAGGATCAGGAGTAACAGCAGCTTTAGCTCCGCCTTCCGGAGAGACTCACTGTTACACGCTTCTGAATGTTAGCGGAGACGTTTGTGTAGCTGTTGTGGAGTCACACTGATCATCTCATCATCATGTTGAACTCTTCCACAGTTCCTGACACAGTGTTTATAAGACAGCGGTCACATGTTCTGCTCAACAGTGTCGTCTGTGCTGACCACAGAACAGTTTCAGGCTCAGCTGGATCTTCTCCAGTGCGTTACAACTGGGCTCTGTTGACGCTCGTGAACCCAATGTGTGTGTGTGTGTGTGTGTGTGAACATGCAGATTAAGGGGCGGGAATATTATAAACGAGCAGATTAAGGGCCGCTAATATTGTAATAAGATACTCTTCATACGTCAGAAGGGGAGCGAAATCTGATCGGCTTCTGAAAGGCTCCCCAGAACAGCGTTTCTAGGTTTCACAGTTCACGTTTTCTGGTTGGTAGAAGCACCGGATTACACAGATTATCATGATATGTCCCCTTTAAGAATATTTGTACTGAAAAACAAGACAGAGACACTGAGGCGGAGCGGGATACAGTCATGCGGATCAGCGGATCAAGACCCATGACTCATGCAGACGCTCATCAACACATCTCCCAGCATGCATCACAGCGAGCGCGTATCCCACAAGGCCTTGAGGCTGAGAGGAAGCCTCACCTGGGAGCGTGACCAACAGCTCCTCAGAGCGGCGGAGCGAGCGCTCGTCCTCCCGACCTCCTCCGGCCACCACGCGCACCTTGTAGGACAAACCCTCCTTCAAACCCTTTAGCACGTGGAACTGAGAGCCGTTGACCTTCTCTGTGTGCCAGTCTTCATCACCTGAGGGTTTCCAGCACACACTCCGTTCAGACCTCTGCACCTCCTGTACTGTTAAACTACTCAACAACTCAACCGGCGTGAGCCTCCACTGCAAAACATGAGGCTCTTCCTCAGCGTCCCGTCACACACACAGTCTTACATCAACAATCACTGAAGATCAAGATATCTCCAGTCCTTGTGCATCTCCGCTGGACGTGTCCTGGGTCAGCTGTAGGAGCAGGGTCATGTTTTGCAGTGGCTCTGTTAGTGACTACATGAGCTCTACTCTATGTGTTCATGTGTTTGATCATCAGAAATCACGGCACACGCATGCAGGAGTCTTACTGTTGTCTATAATATATTCAACATAAAGGTGTTTCTCGGGACCCCAGTATTGCCAACTGATCAGCGCCCCGTCCTCGCTCACGGACGAGCTGACGTTCCCGAACGCAGGAGCTGAGGCCGGCGCTGAGAGAGAGAGACACAAGCGTCAGGAGCGCGAGAGAGTACAGTGAGGGCGGGACATGACATGACGTTAGCGTGTTAGGGGCGGGGCTAGTGATGATGTCACTACAGCGACTGTACCCGTGTGGGGGGTGGGGTGCCCGAGCTCCTGGAAAACACACACACACTCTCTCTCACACACACTCACACAGCATCAAGAGACTCCAGCAGGTCAGAGGTCACAGCAGCGAGTGTCAGGAGGAAAGAGAAGGAGGACATTTATAAAAAAGGAAAGATTAAAAGATCAGAAGGAAAACACACACAGGATTCTGTAGAGAGCGCACAATGCAGAGATCTCTGAGAGCTAATTAAGAGTTTAAACCTATTTTCAGTGATGAAACTGATGTCTTTTACTGACTTGAACCTGGACTTTAAAGTGCACTCAAACCTCTTACATGCATACTTACACTTAACAACCTGTACTTTAACTAAAGCACACTTTCTCTGTCGTGAATTAAACCGAAAACCCACAGAACGGCCAGTGAGACACTAGTGTGCCCTATCTAGTGGACGTACCTCTGTGGAGGATGGCGAGACACTAGTGTGCCCTGTCTAGTGGACGTACCTCTGTGGAGGATGGCGAGACACTAGTGTGCCCTATCTAGTGGACGTACCTCTGTGGAGGATGGCGAGACACTAGTGTGCCCTATCTAGTGGACGTACCTCTGTGGAGGATGGCGAGACGCTAGTGTGCCCTATCTAGTGGACGTACCTCTGTGGAGGATGGCGAGACACTAGTGTGCCCTGTCTAGTGGACGTACCTCTGTGGAGGATGGCGAGACACTAGTGTGTCCTATCTAGTGGACGTACCTCTGTGGAGGATGGCGAGACACTAGTGTGCCCTATCTAGTGGACGTACCTCTGTGGAGGATGGCGAGACACTAGTGTGCCCTGTCTAGTGGACGTACCTCTGTGGAGGATGGCGAGACGCTAGTGTGCCCTATCTAGTGGACGTACCTCTGTGGAGGATGGCGAGACACTAGTGTGCCCTGTCTAGTGGACGTACCTCTGTGGAGGATGGCGAGACGCTAGTGTGCCCTGTCTAGTGGACGTACCTCTGTGGAGGATGGCGAGACACTAGTGTGCCCTATCTAGTGGACGTACCTCTGTGGAGGATGGCCAGACACTAGTGTGCCCTATCTAGTGGACGTACCTCTGTGGAGGATGGCGAGACACTAGTGTGCCCTATCTAGTGGACGTACCTCTGTGGAGGATGGCGAGACACTAGTGTGCCCTGTCTAGTGGACGTACCTCTGTGGAGGATGGCGAGACGCTAGTGTGCCCTATCTAGTGGACGTACCTCTGTGGAGGATGGCGAGACACTAGTGTGCCCTGTCTAGTGGACGTACCTCTGTGGAGGATGGCGAGACGCTAGTGTGCCCTATCTAGTGGACGTACCTCTGTGGAGGATGGCGAGACACTAGTGTGCCCTATCTAGTGGACGTACCTCTGTGGAGGATGGCGAGACACTAGTGTGCCCTATCTAGTGGACGTACCTCTGTGGAGGATGGCGAGACACTAGTGTGCCCTATCTAGTGGACGTACCTCTGTGGAGGATGGCGAGACACTAGTGTGCCCTGTCTAGTGGACGTACCTCTGTGGAGGATGGCGAGACGCTAGTGTGCCCTATCTAGTGGACGTACCTCTGTGGAGGATGGCGAGACACTAGTGTGCCCTATCTAGTGGACGTACCTCTGTGGAGGATGGCGAGACGCTAGTGTGCCCTATCTAGTGGACGTACCTCTGTGGAGGATGGCCAGACACTAGTGTGCCCTATCTAGTGGACGTACCTCTGTGGAGGATGGCGAGACGCTAGTGTGCCCTATCTAGTGGACGTACCTCTGTGGAGGATGGCGAGACGCTAGTGTGCCCTATCTAGTGGACGTACCTCTGTGGAGGATGGCCAGACACTAGTGTGCCCTATCTAGTGGACGTACCTCTGTGGAGGATGGCGAGACACTAGTGTGCCCTATCTAGTGGACGTACCTCTGTGGAGGATGGCGAGACACTAGTGTGCCCTATCTAGTGGACGTACCTCTGTGGAGGATGGCGAGACACTAGTGTGCCCTATCTAGTGGACGTACCTCTGTGGAGGATGGCGAGACACTAGTGTGCCCTATCTAGTGGACGTACCTCTGTGGAGGATGGCGAGACGCTAGTGTGCCCTATCTAGTGGACGTACCTCTGTGGAGGATGGCGAGACACTAGTGTGCCCTATCTAGTGGACGTACCTCTGTGGAGGATGGCGAGACACTAGTGTGCCCTATCTAGTGGACGTACCTCTGTGGAGGATGGCGAGACGCTAGTGTGCCCTATCTAGTGGACGTACCTCTGTGGAGGATGGCGAGACACTAGTGTGCCCTATCTAGTGGACGTACCTCTGTGGAGGATGGCAGACACTAGTGTGCCCTATCTAGTGGACGTACCTCTGTGGAGGATGGCGAGACACTAGTGTGCCCTATCTAGTGGACGTACCTCTGTGGAGGATGGCGAGACACTAGTGTGCCCTGTCTAGTGGACGTACCTCTGTGGAGGATGGCGAGACGCTAGTGTGCCCTATCTAGTGGACGTACCTCTGTGGAGGATGGCGAGACACTAGTGTGCCCTGTCTAGTGGACGTACCTCTGTGGAGGATGGCGAGACGCTAGTGTGCCCTATCTAGTGGACGTACCTCTGTGGAGGATGGCGAGACACTAGTGTGCCCTGTCTAGTGGACGTACCTCTGTGGAGGATGGCGAGACACTAGTGTGCCCTGTCTAGTGGACGTACCTCTGTGGAGGATGGCGAGACACTAGTGTGCCCTATCTAGTGGACGTACCTCTGTGGAGGATGGCGAGACACTAGTGTGTCCTATCTAGTGGACGTACCTCTGTGGAGGATGGCGAGACGCTAGTGTGCCCTGTCTAGTGGACGTACCTCTGTGGAGGATGGCGAGACGCTAGTGTGCCCTATCTAGTGGACGTACCTCTGTGGAGGATGGCGAGACGCTAGTGTGCCCTATCTAGTGGACGTACCTCTGTGGAGGATGGCGAGACGCTAGTGTGCCCTATCTAGTGGACGTACCTCTGTGGAGGATGGTGACGGCCTCCTCGGTGAGCGCAGGCCCGGATCCCTGCTGTGTTTTGGCACTGAAATAGAACTTGTAGCGCGTGCTGTGATGGAGGTTGTGCAGCGTTACACTGCTTTGATTGGACAGCAGATCCATCTCATCCAGCAGACCCAAGTCATGGCTGCTGTTGACTGGAGGCGGAGCGGAAAGGGGCGGGTCACGTTATTTCAGCCAGTCATAAGCTGCTGTAGATTTAGATCTGAGGTGAGGAGAGGTTCTCTCACCCGTCTGATATCTGAGGGTGTATCCGGTCAGACGGCCGTTCCTCTCGTGAGGCGGAGCCCACTCCAGCGTCAGGGAATCCAGATCCGAAGCCGACACGCGGAAGAACGACGGCACGCCGGGAACTGGAACCATACAGACCACAAAATCTGAGCTTCAAGTCAAGTCAGCTTTATTTCTACAGCGCTTTATACAGTACAGATCGTTTCATAGCAGTTCACAGAGATAAACAGGAAAATAACACAGTCAATGATGCACACTTTTGCAAAAAAAATTGCAATTGCGAGAAAATGTCAGAATTGCGAGAAATAAACTCGAGATTGAGAGAAAAGGCAAGAATTGCCAGATAAAAACTGAAAGATAAAAATTGCAATTGCGAGAAAAAAAAGTCAGAATTGCGAGATAAAAACTTACAATTAAAAGAAAAGTCAAAACTGAAAAATAAAAATTTGGAATTGCTAGAAAAAAGCCAGTTTTATATAAAATCATGATTGCGAAAAAAAAAGTCTTGCAAGATAAAGAGTTACAATTTGTAGAAAAAGTCAGAATTGCGAGATAAAAACTTACAGTTGCAAGACAGTTAAAACTGAGAGATTAAAAAGTCAGAATTGTGAGAAATAATGTCATGATTGTGAAAAAACTCTGAATTGCAAGAAAAAAAACCTCACAATTGTGAGAAATAAAGTCAGAATTGCGAGACATTTTCAATCTTTTTTCAGTGTAGGGAAACAAGCCTCCAGACTGTCAGTGCAGCTGAACGTGTGAGTGAATAAAGCGGCTTGTTCAGATGCTCTCACCGCCCTCCGGCGTCTCGAAGCGCTGCGTGGCGCTAGCGGGTCCTTCCCCGCGGCTGTTGAACGCCGTGACGTGCAGACTGTAGACGCTGAACGGGTGCAGGTCCGGGAGCTTCCCGCGGGTTCTGTTGGGCCCGAAGCTCTCGCTCCTCTGCTCGCCGTGGTGAGAGTTGTGTTGGTGTAAACTCCGCTCGCGCCGGTAATGAACCTGCACACCGACGACAGAGATTACACACGATCACATATCCCAGCATGCACTAGTCTAAGGTCACTGCCTCAAAAACACCAAACATTTCCAGGGAGCAAAATTCATCTTGTGTTCATAAGCATAATTTATCTACAAACAGTAGGGGTTTAACAATATATCATGTCACAATATATCGCAATACAAAAATGCATCAATATGTATCGTGGATAGTTCACCCGAAATAAAAATTACTGTGCGAGTCCAAGACTATTCATTTACAGCAAATTTAGCATTTTAAACAACAGAACATTTTTTGGGAATATCACAATAATATCGTATCGTGAGTTCAGTATCTTGATATGTATCGAATCGTGACACGAGGGGATCGTTACACCCCTGAAAACGGAAATTTATTCAGACAGCTTCAACATTTCTCACATTATCTAAGGTTAATTCGCTACAGTTTAGAAAATGGTAATGAAATATGAGCAGATCTCAGTGGATATTTGACTGGTTTTGTTCTGTTGGACTCTCACACATGAGTTATGTTGAATATCTGTCAGCTGTTAAATTGAACTCCACAATTAGAGAATAGCAGCGTGTTGGTGTTGACGTGACTCTGAGCGCGCACCTTATAGCCCTGCAGTCGCCCGCGCACGGCCCGCAGAGGAACGTGTTCCCAGTGCACCTCCGCCAGCGTGCTGTTCAGCACCACCACCTGCACCAGCCCCGGGGCCGCCGAGGGAACTGCACACAGCAATCTGGGAGTTAGCAGCGCTACGCTAGTCGAGCGCTAATGCTAAAGGCGCGAGACTCACAGTCCTCTCCGGAGTGGCCGATCACAGTGACGGGTTCGGGGCCGGGTCCGTAAGCGTTCTGCGCCCGCACCATCACCTCGTACGGCACAAACGTGGGCGTCCCCGACACCACGAACTTGGAGACGTTGGCCACGCTGACGGAGGTCCAGTCCTTCTCCACGCCGTGCTGACGCCACAGGACCGTATACTGCAGGCCGGGGCCGTTCGCCTGGAGCCCCGTCAGCGGCTGCGGACCACACACACACACACACACACACAACAAGCTCATGCCATCTGGCAAGGTTCATATGAATAATCCAGAAAATCTCTATTCTCTTTACTACACAAACTCAAGCACGATATTAAATCACAGTAAAAAAATGGAATTTGGAACAAATAAAATGAAATAAACTGATTTCATAATTTTATTTTTGTTGTTACACTATATATGTTTTAAGATTTCAAATAGACAAAACAAGTACTGATTAAAATAATAAATAAAATTATTTAATATAATATAAAATGGAATTTGGGATCAAATTGAATACAGTATATTTGTATTTGAATGTATTATCAGAATGCTGAAAATGTTTGTTTTTTTGTTAAACTTTTAATACATTTTTGTTAAATTGTATTAGTTTTATGATTTCAATTAATTTGACATGATTGTGATTTCAAAAATTTAATTTAACCATTAAAAATGATACGTTTTAGAAACAAATAAAACCGATTTTATAGGGCCCTATTATTTTAAAATGTTTATAACTTATATCCTTGTTTTCCTTTTAAGAATTCGGGATTCTAAATATATAATCAAATTTAATTAAACCACTAATATGCATTCCAGAAAAAAAAAATATTTTTTTTGTTAAACTATTAAAACATTATTGTTATTGTAATTAATTATACACACTTTTGATTATTATTAAATTGTTAACGTGTTATGAATTCCAAAGTAATAAAACCATTCAAATGTAATCTAGAAAAAAAACATTACAATTTGGGAAAAAATTAAATGTACTTTTTGTTAAACTTGTAATAAATTGTTGTTTGATTGTATAGGTTTCATTATTTAAATAAATTAGACTTTATTCCTAAAATGTAATTTGTTTATCCTGCGGTTTACTGTGGATGTCCAGGACATCATGATATAAATAATACATCACACTGTATGAACATGATCATTGTGTGTGTATTAAAGATCAGCGTCTCACCTTCCACGTGATGACCAGGTTATTGTGTTCCGTGCCGTGACCTTTGACCTCACTGGGGTTCTCGTCTGGAGCTGCAAAGAGACGCGTTAGAGGTGCTGAATCATGTGATCATGTGTGTGTGTGCGTGAGTGTGTGTGTGTGTACCTGCGGGGTTGGTCCTGTACTGGCGCGAGGGTAAGCTGGGCCAGCTGTAGCCCACTCCGTTGAGCGCTAGCACTCTGAAGCTGTAGTGCACGTACGGGGAGAGCTTGAGGTGAGCCGTGGTCTTCGTCCCGGGAACCTCCGTGAGATTGTGCCACACACCACTCTGATGAAGACCGTCCTCGTACTGGATCAGGAACTCTGACACACACACAACAGAGATCCATCACACACACTTCACTCAGCCGTGATACTTTGATTCAAGTGCCCGTGTGTGTGTGTGTGTGTGTGTCGTACTCTTGATGGCGCTGTTGTGCTCGTCTCCAGGTGTCCAGGTGAGCTGAACACTTCTCGCTCCGGGATCCGTCAGCTCCAGATCCGTGGGAGCGTCCGGCTGCCCTAAGGAGTCAACACAGACAGATCCATCAGCTCATCATAACACACACACACACACACACACACCATCCGATGAAAACATACTACATGAGACCAGATGATCAGATGCGAATCACATGACGACGCATGCACATCTGAACCAGCGAACACAAGATTCATCTGAAAATAAACCAAATCATATCACAGATAAATGTATGATCCAGCATGCTCCATTCCACACACACATGCCCTGGGGCATTATGGGATGCGATGCGGCACGGTGTGTGTTTACCGTAGATCGGCGGCAGAGTGGGTGGAGCCTCTGAGTGGGCGGGGTCAGGGAGTGAGGAAGAAGTGTGTTAGTTTACAGACAGTCACATTAGTTGGTTTTCTGTCACTATAATCCCTGGTTTCTGCAGGGAAGCGTCACACGAATCCGTCCGGAGAGGGATTATAGATAATAATATTCTGAATGTTCTGATCCAAATCTGATTTCTGACCTGTAACGCCTAAATCATAATCACACACTGTTGGTTGGTTGGCCAGAGGAGAACTGAGACTGGCTCTGGTTTCTCACAAGGTTAATTTCTCCATTCTGTCACTGATGCAGTTCTGGTTCTTTGGCTTTTGTCTTGCTTAATCATCTCGGCAAAGGAGAAGTGCTCGCTAACACAGACTTAGACAGATTCATGAACAATATTTGAGAGAAATAGATCTGTTGTGTACATAGAAAAAGACTTTGAGTTCAGCTCATGAAACTGGGCGCTAAAACAAAAGTGTTGCGTTTATAATTTTGTTCAGTTTATATCGTAAACAAACTAAATGAAAAACAGAAAATCACTGAACTTAAGCTGGACTGTGATGCTATTTTCTTCTAGAAACACACTTTGTTTGCTGCTTTGAAACGCTCTGTATAAATAAAGGTGAGTTGAGAACATGAGGACACTCACCGACCACCGTGAGCCGAGCGCTGGCCGTGTCCTGGTCCAGAGAGGTGTGTGTGACACACGTGTACGTTCCTGCGTCGCTCTCCGTCACGCCTGTGATGGTCAGACTGTCCAGCTGCGGTCGAAACCTGTGATCATCACACACACACATCTCAATGGTAAAGGTGACCGATTATGCCCCTTTCACAGGATGTAATATAATGCAAATGAGCTGCAGAATCCATCGACCTTGAAAATATCGATCAGACCCAAATTTGAAACGTTATTGATGCTGATTGGGACTGATCTGCTGCAGTGAATGAGGAAGAGTCTGACACACACACCTGTCGTCTTCGGGCAGCTCTCCTCCATCTTTGAGCCAGCTGGTGCTGGGAATGAGAGACGGGTCGTGCTTCACTTTACACTCGAACAGAACGTCCCGGTTCGTCTGGACCACCCTGTACTCCGGAGGCCTGAGGATCCGCGTCGGCTCTGGGGGAGATGCTGACCATTAGAAACATGCTCTCACACACACACACACAGAAGCTCACAGTTACCAAGGCGTTGCTATGGGGTGGTCAGGATATTCAGGGGTGTTGCTAGGCGGCTGGGAAAGATCATTTGTAACACTAATTGCTTCCTGCAGACATGCTGATCTCTGGAATAAGAAACTGCCAGCTTGCAGATCCCAGTGTTTCTCCCGCCTCTCGTCAGGTCTGAATGCTTTCCTAATGCTCTTCAGAGAGGCAATTAACTGAAGCCTGGAGCCTCAAACATGATGCATGATGGGATACCCGGAGCCGTCAAGACCAATATGCATGTCTGTTCAGTTGAACATGCACTAAAACACTCAATACAGTGATGTTTTCTCCAGTTTAGATGGAATTATTTACAGTAGGGTTTTCAATCTTTTATACGCCACGGACCAAATTATACTAGGAAAAATCTATATGTAAAATATTATTTGGAAAAAATGTTCTATTCCAATTCATTCGTTCATTTACTTATTTATTTTAGTTCAGTTTTATTTATTTAATGATTTATATATTAATATAAATATATATGTATATATTATTAATAATCAACATATATTTATATATTTTTATTATATATATATATATATATATTTTAGCAATTGTATTTATCTATTCCTTTAATTATTTATTTATATAATTTTGTATTTAAATCATTGCTGAATATGTTTTTTTTATATATATTCTATATTTATTTAAATATATTTTTATTGATTTCTTTTTCCACGGAGCCCCGATTCAGAAGCATGAGCACTGAGGTGAGTGATCGGACCTTTGACCTCCAGGTAGACGTGGTTCTCGGAGATGCCGAGGTTGTTCCTGGCGACGCAGGTGTACTTCCCGCCGTTTGCAGCCTGAGACACGTGGATCTCCAGCGTCCCGTTCTTGTGGAAGACATAGGGATCTCCCTCCAGCATGCTGGAGCGGCTGTCCTTAAACCTGCTCCGACACACATGAACATAACTACATCACACACACACACTCACTACAGCAATAGTGGTCCTGATTTAAAGCAGCACTGCGGAGAGGACAATCCCATAATGCACTGTGGTTTAAGGGCGAATGTACATCCAGCCGGTTGTTATCTCAGAATAAACCCGACAGGGTGATCAGGATCAGGTCTTCATTGTGTTTATTCTGAGATCACACACACACACACACATTTGTGTTTGATGAGGAGTGTGTGTTCAGTCTCACCATGTGACGACCGGGACGGGCGAGCCGAAGGACAGGCACTCCAGCAGAGCGGGGCGGTTCTCGATCACCTGATACACTTTATTAGGGGCCGTCAAAACTCGGGGCGGCTCCGCTGGAACACACACAGGTCACATGATCATCACATCACGCGACAAAATGCTAACAGACGTCAGTGTGTGTGTGTGTGTGTGTGTGTGTGTGTGGGCTTACCCAGCACGTTGACGAAGGCGTTGGCCAGTAAGTAGCCGTGTGGATTGGAGGCGTTACACTGGTAAACGGCGCTGGAGCCCGTCTGGACCTCGGAGAAGATGATGCTGTCGTCCTCCACCGTCCGGCTCGGGTCTTTAGGAGCATCTGTCAGCAACAACAACACAACGTCAGTCAGAGGTCAGGGGTCAGGGGTCAGCTGGGACGACAGTAACTGACCCTCGATGGGTAGGCCGTTCATGGACCACTGGATGTGGGGTTTGGGGTGTCCTCGGGCCCGGCACGTGATGACGCCCGTCTCCAGCGGAGCCAGAACCAGATTCCTGGGAGCGCTGATCCAGTACGGAGCCGCTGCCGAGAGACAACAGCGTTCAGTGCTCTTTCTACAAGATTCAACATTCACACCAACGTCTGAACCTTCAGACTGATTTACTAATAAACTCCACAGCAGCCAATCAAACATCAGACCCAAGACATTCTTCTCCAAGCTTTATAATAGCAGTGAATGGCTATTTCTGTTTTGAAGTCCATAAAAGTGGATCTATCCATCATAACAGTGCATCTATCCATCATAACAGTGCATCTATCCATCATAAAAGTGCATCTGTCCATTATAAAAGTGCATCTGTCCATCATAAAACTGCATCTATCATCATAAAAGTGCATCTGTCCATCATAAAAGTGCATCTGTCCATCATAAAAGTGCATCTGTCCATCATAAAAGTGCATCTGTCATCATAAAAGTGCATCTGTCCATCATAAAAGTGCATCTATCCATCATAAAAGTGCATATGTCCATCATAAAAGTGGATCTGTCCATCATAAAAGTGGATCTATCCATCATAAAAGTGCATCCGTCCATCATAAAAGTGCATATGTCCATCATAAAAGTGGATCTATCCATCATAAAAGTGCATCCGTCCATCATAAAAGTGGATCTATCCATCATAAAAGTGCATCTGTCCATCATAAAAGTGCATCTGTCCATCATAAAAGTGGATCTATCCATCATAAAAGTGCATCTGTCCATCATAAAAGTGCATCTGTCCATCATAAAAGTGCATCTATCCATCATAAAAGTGCATCTGTCCATCATAAAAGTTCATCTGTCCATCATAAAAGTGGATCTGTCCATCATAAAAGTTCATCTGTCCATCATAAAAGTGCATCTGTCCATCATAAAAGTTCATCTGTCCATCATAAAAGTGGATCTGTCCATCATAAAAGTGGATCTGTCCATCATAAAAGTGCATCTGTCCATCATAAAAGTGCATCTGTCCATCATAAAAGTTCATCCGTCCATCATAAAAGTGCATCTGTCCATCATAAAAGTGCATCTATCCATCATAAAAGTTCATCTGTCCATCATAAAAGTTCATTCTTCAGAACAGAAGCAGCCATTTACTGCCATCATAAAGCTTGGAAGAGCCAGGACATTGTTTAACTCAGATTGTATTCTTCTGAAAGAAGAGAGTCACATACACCTAGGATGACTTGAAGGCGAGTAAATCATGGACTAATTTAGATTTCTGGGTGAACTATCCCTTTAATTAGAGTGAATAATGCCTCAGGCTAGTGTGTGTTCGTGCTGTCTTCACCTTTAACGGAGACTCTGATGGTGTGGTGAACCGAGCCGAGCCGGTTCCCGGCGGTGCAGCGATACTCCCCGGCGTCCGCCTCCGACACGTCCGAGATCCGCAGAGTCTTGTTGAAGTTCATCAGTGAGGCTCGGTGAGCGGGGATCTCACCGCTGAGCTTGGTCCAGGAGACCGCAGGAGTGGGGCTGAGCGGGAACAGCAGAAGGTCACACACCCAAACACACACTAGAGTTACTGTAGAGCGGGGTGAATCTGAACTCACAGGCCGTCGGCGATGCACTCCAGCTCCAGAACCTCTCCTCGCAGGACCATCTGAGAGCTGAGCGAGCCGCTGGGAACCAGGAACACCGGCGCCCTCTCGCCCACCGGCTTATCTGGGAGAAAACCCTCTCAGTGAGATCCTGCATCATCACCACAACTCACGTCAACTAGGGTTGGGAATCGAAAATCTGAATACTTGAGGTCAGGAGTCGGATACTTGTTAAAAAATTTAAATTATGATTCTTCTTATCGATTCCTTTGTAAACATTTCAATATGACTTTAAACCATTCAAGCGCGAGAGACTGTGTGTCTGTGTTGTGGGCGTGTGTATCAGTGTATCGGACCCGCTCTTAAAGTGACAGCACTAATATTCCTCTATAATAGCACTAATCATCAAACAATATATTCACTCGTTCTAGACTGAATGACTTTTGTAACTATTTTGTAATGTATATTTTAGTGTAGCGTTATTTTACATTTGAGAACTGAAAATCTTAAAACACATTATTTCAATCGTATAATTACTGAGTGTTTACTTGTCTTTAATAATGCTTGAAATGTATATTAGCTAGGCTAGTTGTTTCTCCATGCTATTTTTAAACCACAAGTTAACGTTCCGTGTGTTAGTGTTCCTTAGCCTGATTTTTGTTCATCATATCTACGTTTTTTACCTTCTTGGAACCGGACTTAGGAATCGATAAGAATCGGAATCGATAAGCAGAATCTGAATCAGAATCGTTAAATTCAAACGACCCCCAACCCTAATATGAACACACATCAGGAAGATGAAGAGAGTTCTGAAAGAGGTGATGAGGAACGACAGGATCATTGTGTCTAAAGCAGAAGACATCTGAGATCTGTTAGTGGATAAACAGGGCTTTAATGAAACACGCTCCGGAATGAGGTTAGAGGTCACTGGGTGTGGGTTAGACCAGAGTCACTAGGGGGCGCCGTCACTCACCACTAAACAAATCAGTGTCATTGAAATAATCTGCCATTGTGTCATTGAGTGAATCCACTGAAACACAACAAAACAACAAAACAAATCAAACACATGCAAAGCAGCCGCAGGAGTACGCCGCCATACTCTCACAGCTGCGGCCCATGGCATTTGCGGCTCAAGAGCTCTTTGTTTCGCTCGGAGCGCAGACAGTGCATTAAAGTGACGAATGGATGTTCGGGGGTTTTATTGACGCTCAAACCAACCCAAAACTACAACAGTGCTCATTCAGAGGGAACGGCCAGGGGAAGCGGCCTCCCACAGATCTGGACTCACGGTCGATGACGTGGACGGTGATGGGCTGCTTCTGCTGGATGGTCTGCGTGTGTGGGAACCGGGCGTAGCAGATGTAGTTGTTCCTGGAGTCCTCCATCAGGACGTTGGAGAAGTACAGGTCTCCGTTCAGACCCTGAGACACTCGCCGGCTCTGCGGCAGACGCTGGAAATCTGTGCACACACACACACACACACACACACACACGGTTAGAGTCAGAGAGAAAGGGAAGCTGCGCTAGTCTTCTCGTCTATAGTGTCGTATATCGAGTGAAACGCTTCAGGAACAAGAACAAATGTGGGCGGGGCTTGATTGTGTTAATGGGGAATTGATTGGACGGTTGTGGTTTGCTATTGGTGGATCTCATGTGAGTGACAGGTTGCCCTGCCCTCGCCTTGATTCTGTGCATCGTTTGTTAATTGGATGTTGGGATGTAGGCGTGGCTCTATGCAAATGAGCGTGAGTTTTTGTCTGTGATGAATTGATTGGATGGTGGATCTCATGTGAGTGACAGGTCGCCCCGTCCTCGCCTTGATTCTGTGTATCAGATGTTATTTGGATGTTGGTATGTAGGCGTGGCTGTATGCAAATGAGCATGAACTTGCAGGGCCGGAGTTTTTTGTCTGTGATGAATCGATTGGATGGTGGTTTGCTATTGGTGGATTTCATGTGAGTGACAGGTTGCCCCGCCCTCGCCTTGATTCTGTGCATCGGTTGTTAATTGGATGTTGGGATGTAGGCGTGGCTCTATGCAAATGAGCGTGAGTTTTTTGTCTGTGATGAATTGATTGGATGGTGGTTTGCTATTGGTGGATCTCATGTGAGTGACAGGTCGCCGTCACCTTGATTCTGTGCATTGTTTGTTGATTGGATGTTGGGATGTGGGCGTGGCTCTGTATGCAGATGAGAATGAGCTTGAAAGGGCGGAGTTTAATCACACTGAATGATCCATTTGATCAAACATTATGAGCTCAAAGCATTAAAATAATGAACTGTTCATAGTTCACATGCGATCATAAAATAGATTTACTGAGGACACTTACTGTTGTCCATCCAGAACACGATGGGCGGCGGGAGGCCGGCGGGGGGGCGGCAGTGCAGGACCAGCGACTGTCCCTCCTGCACAACGATTGGACTGAACCTCTCTTTGGACCACAGAGGAGATCCTACAGGAAGAGGAAGCAGCCGTGATCACATGACTCAACACGAGCGTGAGCGTGACGGACAGGTGACACGTGATGCGGGAGAGAGATCTAAACACGGATGAGGTCACTATGAGGTCAGTCTGCAGGATTGGGCCGCCACATGCATTACAGCCAAACATTCCCATTTACCTCCGAGTATCAGATCTCTGATGACGCTGAAAACGTCTTACGACACACAAAACAACGAGAGTGAGAGGGTTAAACGAGGCTGCGTGAGAGATGAGATGAGAGAGCAGCGAGTGATCTGATTGGTGGAGCTGACGTACTGGACTGGCGGATGGTGATGTGGTTGGAGAGGGCGGAGCCGAGCTGGTTGTGGGCGGTGCACTGATACACGCCCTCGTAGGCGTCGGCCTTCTCTCCTCCGATGACGTCGATCACCAGCGTTCCTGAATGAGGCTTCATCGTGACTTTGGGATCTTTATCGATGTCGAAATGCGTCCCGTTCCTGGTCCACGAGAAGCTGAGGGCGATCAGAGCGAGGCAAGTTCATTTATACAGCGCATCTGATACAAAAGTGCATCAATCCATCATAAAAGTGGAGTGAATAGTCTCGTCTCGGAGTGTGTGAGTGTGTGTCACCTGGGGTGCGGCTTCCCTTTGGCCTCGCAGTGGATGACGATGTTCTCGCGCGGGTCCACGATATATTCCTTCGGCGACTGATGGGTGATTGTGGGCGGCTGCGGCACTGCGGGTCACATGACACGGGTTAGCTTAGATACAGCCAATCAGACGACAGACACACACACACACACACACACAGCAGGATCTCTTGACATGCAAAACAATAGGAAACACATTACTCTACTGCATCACATGCTCTGAAACGCTTCTTTCCTTGCTGTAAATGCAGTCACCGCATGCACACACTGCAGCAATACATCATCATCATCAGCAAACACACACACCACAGCGAGGAGAAGCTCAACGCACAGCAAACCGACGAGAGAAACTTACATCCTTCCAGGAGTTTAGCTAGAGAATGACAGACAGACGGAGAGAGCGTCAGAACATGAGGACCGCCAGATCTCAGGTCAGATTCATCACACCGGCGAGAGCTTCCTCTGATTGGCTGACGAGGGACTTTTATTTTGACAGCGCACCATTAGTTTACTGTACTAGTTTAACAGCTCTGTCTTATAGAAATACATATTTCAGTGTTTCATTTATCAGCTTTGTCTCAGGTGTGTCTCCTCTGTCCGTCAGCTGTAGTTGTGCCGATTCGAAAGATCATTAATATGCAGTAATATTGAGCAATATTATCTATCTATCTGCACTGAGATTGGACGAGAACTAAACTTGAACACTTAATATCTTCAGTGATTGTTCTCCTCCAGTAACTGTGTTGATGTAAGAATGTTTAGATGTGTGTGTGTGTGTGTGCTGGAGAACGAGACAGAAACTCGTTCTGTGTGTGGAGAGATAGTGATCGTTCTGTCCCGTCAGCATTAAACACACACACTCACATTCACACACACTTGCAAACACACACACACACACACACACAGTCACACTCACAGTCTCTCTCTCACACACACACACACACACTCACTCTTACACTGAAGCTCTGGAATGAATCACTGGCTGTTAATGAGGAATTGTGGGATACGTACGGTCCAGAGGAACCTCCAGCGCCGTGATCATGTGACCCAGCAGCAGCAGCAGCAGAGCCAATCGGCCGTCCCTCGGCCTGTCCATCACGCCGAGTGACCAATGAGGCGCCTCGGAGTGAGTTTAGCCCCGCCCTCGAGCCAATCAGGACACACTAACAGAGAGAGAGAGAGAGAGTTACTGACTGATCATCACACACACACAGCTCTGACTCAAACCCCGGGAAGCAGGATTTATAGACACACACACACGCACACACACACACACGCACACACACACACTGCCAATGCAAAAGCTGCTTCAGGCAGCAGAGAACCCCTGGTTGCCATGGTTACTGAGATCTGCACCACAGACACTCTCTTCTTCACACTTTCATGGATGTTGGGATGCACACCTGTCAATCAACTCGAGGCGTATGATGTCATCAGGTGTTCAGACCATGTGATGTTTAATCGGTCCAATGATACGCTTGATTCACTGGATCATGTGACTCACTGAGCTGTTCCTCAGAGTGAACCACAGCAGTGATGCTCAGACTGAACTAACTCCGCCAAACACATCTGCGATTGACAAACTTCCCCAGAAAGGCAAATGCAAACAAATGTGATCTGAATTCAGAGTTGGAACGTCTCTGTCATGCAAATGAAAACAAATAAAACATTAAAAACACTGATTAATCCTCATAACGCTGGACATGTAGAGTTCAACACAATCAGAGGACTCAGATTAATGTGATGAACAATGTGTGTGTGTGTGTGTGTGTGTGTGTGAGAGAGTGAGTGAGTTTGAGTGTGAGAGTGTACACACACACACACACACACAGTGTTTATCTGGCTCTGATGAAGCCCAGACTATAACATCCTCTTATTCCCGCCGCTAATATCACAGCAGAGCAGAACGAGCGCCACACAAAGACATTCCTCCGGCATACGTTTCCCAGAAGCCCCGCATCAGCTTTATAATTGTAGAGGCGGTATGCAAATAATCAGGCTGATTAGCATATGAATGGTGGGATGAATCCCGCTTTATGAACACCAGTTCTGGATAAAACAACAGTGTGTGTCTGAGCTGTTGTGCTTTCTCTCCCTGACCCGGGACCTGCGCTCGCAAACACACACTATATCTGTGCAAATCACTCCCGAGAGACGATCCCATAAAAGCCACACTGTAAAAATTATGAGCAATAAGATATGACAACATATATTTTTACATTGCTTTAACTCAACTTTTTTATTTACTTGTACAAGACTCAACTCATTTTTTTAAGTCAGTTTAATGTCATTTAAGTTTGAAATTACTTGAATTGTTGATTGAAAAGTTGATTGTTCTTAAATTTAAGACAGCAACTTTAAAAAAATGTATACAGTGAATTGCGTAAAGGGGGCGGGTGATTATGATGTCACTGTCTCGCTGTAGTGAGTGTGTAATATTTCAGAACAACATCTGCAAAGTTACGACTCAACGCTCGAAGCAAACAGAGAGATTTAGTTTTACAGAAATCACATTTAAGGACTACAACAAACAGCTGGTAGAACTACAAGAGCTTCCTCCCGGGTTAGTGACATCACCAACCCTGGAATTTGCATAAACCCCGCCCTCGGGAATACGATTTATACTTTATCATGACAGAACAGATAACACCACATCACTGCACACACATCAACTGTTCAGAAACACTGATTCTCTCCATCTTTCTCATTGAAGCATTCGCTCTTGAAGCTCCGCCCCCTGTGTCGGGAGCTGCAGCTCATTTGCATTTAAAGGGACACACACTAAAACCGGCGTGTTTTTGCTCACCCTCAACAAGGGTCAATTATAATATGCTATATAAACATATCTGTGGGGTATTTTGAGCTGAAACTTCACACACACACTCTGGGGACATCAGACACTTATTTTACATCTTGTGAAAAGGGCATTACACCCCCGCTTTAAGTTACTCTAGTGTTTTTGTCTCTTCTGATTCAAGGACACTTGCTTTTGTCGTTTCTGTCGATCTTCTATGCGATGGAAAGCAAATGTTTACACAGCGATTCATTCCCTGTGAACTCCATTAGCATTCCCCGTCTTTCTCACACACACACACACACACACACAGATCCGGATCCTCTGAGATGCTAATGTCTGGCAGCGTCTTAAAGGAACGAGGTCTCGTTAGCATGCAGTGTGAAGCGAGCGCTAAACTAGACGCTACAACAGGTCTCAGATCAGCTTAATCAGATCAGAGTCTGAGGCCGCACGTCACATGAGGAGGAGGGCTCATTTGCATATGCAAATACAAACACAGGGCTGCCAACTTTTGAGTTTAGCTTGGAGTGATAATGATGGGGATCCCTTTCATCACAACAAGTGTATTGTGATTGTCAAAACATTTGGTAACGAAGCAGATTTATATTAAGTTGTACAGTGACTGGTATGCTACTGTTTTTATTATTGCTAGACACAGATTTCAATTCAATTAACTTGAATATTATTTGGATAAATATTACAGAAGACTATATATCTCACCTAATGCTGTAAACAGAGAGCACTGTTAGCTGGTATTATTATTAAATAATAACTCATTTTAAATATAATGCGTTTTTAATAATAACAACTTTATGAAATTGCAATGATATAAGTAAAAATATAATAAACATGTATTATAGTGCACGTTTCGATAAATACTCTAAAATCATTAAATGTTGAAAAACACTGATCGATGGATATTATATATGAAGGATCAACACTGTGAGTAGTTCTGCCTCTTCAGCACACTATAGTTCAGTCGTGTTGGTTCACTATCAGCCAGTAAAGAGAAGATCGGCTACTGAAGCTACAGCGATCCTCGCATTTACAAGCCTGAACTGTAGTTATTTGATTGTCAGAATCGGAGAGATGTGCACATGATGTGCTTGATATCGAGAGTAATGTCTGTCAGTGTCGACACACAGGTACTGGAAACCAGAGCAGATCCAGGAATCCTCCCACAATCGGCTGATTTATGCGTGAGCGGAGACAGTCATTGGACGGCGGGGAAACACATGTCCTCGTTAGTGCTGTTGACCTTCTTAATAAGCCAAAAGGAAACAAGACGAAGCCATGCATCCGTTCTGATTCCTGTCTTGTGTGTGTTGTGTTATTTACTGTTCTGTGCCGTGCTTTAGGCTTCAATGGGGTCCAACGGGTCGAAGGTCAGATGTGAGTTTCAGCTTCGACACGATCCAGCCGAGGAATAAGAGTCTGATCTGGACACACCAGCGACATTTACAACAAAATACACACTTTAACCACTAATGCTGGTCTTGCTCTCGCTGTGATGCGACACACATTACGTCATCAGGGTGAAAGGTCAAGTGTGACGTAGGCGTAAGAACAGACCCAGTGTTTACAGAGTGAATGTGAAAGACTGAGTCAAACGCCATTTACAGAACAAATAAATAAATAAAAGGTCAAAGTTTTTCAGCCTACTCTACATTTCTGATCCGGAACACGCATGACCTTTCACCCTGATGACGTAATGTGTGTCGCATCACAGCAAGAGCAAGACCAGCATTAGTGGTTAAAGTGTGTATTTTGTTGTAAATGTCGCTGGTTTGTCTAGATCAGACTCTTATTCCTCGGCTGGATCGTGTTGAAGCTGAAACTCACATCCGACCTTCGACCCGTTGGACCCCATTGAAGACACTATATGGAGAAACCCTGGAGTGTGTTCCTCAAAAACTGAAGAAAGAAACACGTGAACATCTTCGATGACGTGGAGGAGAGTAAACTATCAGGACATTTCAATTCTTTAAGGATATGATCTGGTTATATCGGTTAAATGGATGTTTCCGAGCCTGAACACACACATTGCCTCGGTGTCAGCGAGTCCTTCACGAGCTGCTGGGTAAAGCTAACCCGCGCCGGCTGGGATTGTGATGCTAATGTGAGTTCTCTGGCGGATCAATAGTGGCTTTAGGATGTGCTGACCGGCGCTCGCCTGCACTTTCTCTCTATTGTGGAGATCCGCTGTGGAAGCTTCTGTCCATAAACACACACTGAACCCTGAGAGAACACCACAAACACACACCAACACACACTAACACCGCTCATTAACCCGCTAATTGCCAGCGGGACACTTTCACTGACATATATCTATCACATACTGTAGTAATAAGGTGTCAATCGAAAGCTTAAAGACTCAAAACTCATCCTATATTTAGGCTCCTCCCCCATCAGGCGGTGTCAGGTTTCATTCTACATTTGCACTATTTTATTATCAGATCTTTTTGTAATCTTGACAGATTGCACATGGAGTTGAAGAGCTGGAAAGTTTGTATGTTTGGCGACTGTGATATTATGACAGAAGCGTATTCATTTGTGACAGCAGAACGTGTTGAAGCGCATCAATAAAATCCTATTTTTGTGATGTCAACTTCAACTTTGGAACACAGCTTTAATACATGCACGGCTTTGATCTTAGAGCTATTTTAAAATCCAAATTATTTTATATATATATAAATATATACAGTATATATATATATATTTATTGTGTATAAAATATACATTTTTAGTACAGTGGATTTGCCTCAGTAATAACATAATAAAGTGCTCTCAACTTCTGCAATAAATCATGTAAATAATAATGTTTAACGTTAGAAAAATTCATGTTCATGTTTTTAGTGCTAATGCATTAACTAATGTAAAAGATACAAGTTTTGATTTTTAAAAATGCAGTAAATGTTTAAATGAACTAAGTTTAGAAAGTTTTGTTCAATATTAGTTCATGTTTACTATGTTTATTAATAAACGAAGCCATGATGATTTTTCTCGTCCACCAGCCGTCACCTACACTACAGCACGTGATGACACAATCTGGCACACTATCTAGGGCAGAAGAGTCAACTGGGACGCACTCACACACACACACACACACACACGAGTCTGAGCTGTTTTTCCTCTGTACTCTCACTCTATCTGATTGTATGAGCATTAAAAGCCTGATGAATGAGAGATGAAACTCAGCGCCCCACACACACACACACACACACACACACACACACACACACACACCTGTGTTTAGACTCTCTCCTCACGGTTATGCGGACTGACTGGCGTAGGCGCTGTGAACTCGTGATCTTCACACACACTCACACACACTCGTCTCAGAGGTGAGACTCTGCCTCCCACTCAACATCCCGGGATCAGTGTGTCCGCTCGGGAATAAAGACGGCTCAGTGTGTGTGTGATCGGCCTCGACACACACACACACACACATCTGACACCCTTTAACACACACATCCGACACCCTCACCAAGACATGAAGACCGACAGACTCTCACTGTCAGGGATGATGATCAAGACTCAAACGCATGAAGACATCTGAATGATTCAGCAGGTTTGACCGGGAGTGTGTATAGACAGAGAGAGAGCGCGGGCGAGAGACATTAATGTAGAAGGGACTCTTTTCTCCTCATTGAAGCTGCAGGTGAATAGAAATCAGTTCCCCTTCATCGCCCACAAAAGCCACGACCCTCCGATCCGCCGACAAAACCTCATTCAGAGTGTGAGAAAATCACATCACTGTGGCGGACGAGGGGTCAGAGCCCAGAACACACACACACACTCACACTTCACAGGTTGCCTCTGCATCCTTTCACACACACTCAAGCGTTCTTGTGCAGAAATGCCGTGTGTTTCTGACAGTGATCTTCATGAATGAGTCTCTTTTTAACCGGCTGCGTTCAGGACAGACTTCATGCATATTTCTCAACTTCTAAAAAATACATCATTTTAAGTACGGGAAAAACTATATGGATTAAAGACAAAATACACTTTTCCCCCAAAGTGTTTCAAATTATTTTTTTAAGACATATAACTCAAATAACACACACACACACACACCCTCCGCTGGCTGTAACGATCCACTGGTTTATGGAGGTCAACAGAAGCACAGCTATTGGGATCAGGGAATCAGGTCACCCAGAATGCACTGCAGCGCACGGGTCGAGCGGATGGACACACTCAGGGCCCTATTTTAACCATCTGAAACGCAAGTATCAAGCGTGAAGCGCAAGTACCTTTGTGGGCGGGTCTCGGCGCTGTTGCTATTTTCCCGGCGGGATAAATGACTCTAGCGCCCAGCGCATGTCTAAAAGGGGTTGGTCTGGAGTAGCTTCATTATTCATGGGTGTGGTTTGGGCGTAACGTGAAATAAACCAATCAGAGCGCCATCCAACATACCCTCTAAGAGCAGGTGCGCGTGTTACATGGCGGATTATTATTATAACGGCGGGTTTACCAGGAGCGTTCACAGCCGAGGAGACGGACGCTCTCGTCAGGGCAGTGACAGACACTTTCACTTAGCATTATGAACAATAAATGCTAAAAATAGCTTAAAATAGCATTATGGACAATGCGCAACGTGCAACTGACTTTAGAGCAGGTTTTTTCTGGTCAGTGGCGGAATTGTTTTCTGGAACTGCAAAATAGCGCAAGTTCATTTCCTAGTTTACTGGCGTGCGTCTGTGGAGGGAAAAGCCCGCTTTGCACGGATGTAAATTTGGAATGAGACATGCGTCAGTGTAGGAAATCATTTGCGCCGGGTGAAAGATAGAGCCCAGATCCGCCAATCAGCAGCAGTCGGCCCGATGGAAAGAAGTGTGCTTAAAAAGAGCCATTATTACAGAAATAATCCAATATACAGTGCATTCACAGCGCTTCAGTTTTTCCACATTTTGTTGTTACAGGCTTTTTCCTAAATGGATTAAATTCATAATTATCTTCTTAATTCTGCACTGGGTTTTGGTCCACCTGTGGCGGCTCCAGGCGATCGGCCGTGACGAGGAGAGGCACACACCTGTCTCTATACGATGTCGGAGCACAAACCGGCCGTTTCCAGCACTTCATTGCACGTTTTCTGCAATTAATGCATTAAAGTTTTACATTTAAATTAAATGCAATTCCATGAACCTTTTTTTGACCCACTTTAAAATACACTTGTAAGATTTGAAGTGCACTACACACGTGCATTTACTACAGTTAGGTGCACTTCTGTCCACAGGCTGCTCAGGTCACATGATCACACCTCTGTGATGATGACCAATCAGAGAGAGAGAAACCGCATCACACACACAACCCACAGTCCCTGTTATCATCCACAGACTCCACAGCCACAGAAGCCGGCTGGCGTTTATCAATGATGTTGATGAACAGCAGCACGTTATTGATCTCACACACACACACACATCTACAGCTCATTTATATGCTAATGAGTCATGCATATTCATACTGTTTCACCATGTTACTGCAAACACTTCCCACTTATACTTCTCTATCTGTCTGCTGACACACACACACACACACACACACACACACATTTTCATAGCAAATCTAATTTTTTTCAGTCCATTTAAAGTATCAAGCTTCTAAAATGACTTGAATGTAATCATGTTTTTGAAGTCATGATCTGCTGAGATGCTGGAAGAGTAAGAGCTTCACGTCCCTCTCTCTCTCACACACACACACACACACACACACACACACACACACGCACAGATAAACAGCCCTGATCAATGATGTGAGATTTAACCACATGTCTAAGACTGAACTCACCAGAGAGGATCTGTGTGTGTTCTGTCAGATGAACCTGAAACACACAAACACACACATTCAGTGCTGGAAATCACCGATCATGAACGACAACATCCGACCAGACCGGAAGAACGGGAAAAAACAAGAGAGAGAGTTGAGCAAGAGATAAAACTCCTTCAGGAGTTACAAGACATTTACATCTCGCCAACCAGACAATAATAATAACTACTGATCATCAATAACCCAACATAATAACTACTGATCATCAATAACCCAACATAATAACTACTGATCATCAATAACACAACATAATAACTACTGATCATCAATAACCCAACATAATAACTACTGATCATCAATAACTACTGATCATCAATAACCCAACATAATAACTACTGATCATACAGTTCTCCATACTCTCAGTTCGTCATGAGCATCAGTGAATCAGCTTTAGTAATAGTTGTACATGAGACGGGTCAATATCACAATGTAGATTATTCCTGAAGCTTCACTGCTCAACTACCATCACAACACACACACACACACACACACACAGCAGAAACTTCTCAACGGCATCATGTGATCGCACTGAAATCATCATCACGTGTCCATCGACATCGGTGTTCACCTCAACCACACACACCCTGATCAACGAAAGACTTTACCTTCAGCAGCAGCGACGGTCACACACTGAAGCCTCGCTGAGACTCACACACACAGGTTCAGCATCAGTCAGAGAGAGTGAGAGTGTGTGTGTGTGTGTGTGTGTGTGAGAGAGAGAGAGAGAGAGAGAGAGAGAGAGAGAGAGTGTCCCGCCCCTCACCGCAGGATTAAATCTATCTTTTGTCTTTGACTCAATGGAGGTTAAACATTTCCTGGCCTCGTGTGCAGCAGTTCATGTGTGTGTGTGTGTGTGTGTGTGTGTGTGTGTACATCACTGACATTCTGATATTTACTCTCGAAGTTACACACAAGTGTCATTCCTGTAGCTCAGGGAATGCATCAACTAAAATAAAAATGCAGTACAAGTGAAAAATAATAGTAACATCAATAATAACATTATTTCATACTGTATAGAGCCTTTAAACAGATCAGGCATTGGATAAAAGTGCCAAAGGCATAAAAAAGTCAAATAAAGTAGCAAACATATAATTATATATATCAATACAGTATTAGAGCTGAAAAACAGCTGTATAGCGTACAGTGATTGGCCATCGTTGAGGCGCTGCACAGATGCTGATCCGGCTGATCCTGGGACAGGGTTTACTGCAGTCGTTAGGAAACTCTTTTACGTCTCTTATACGGTCGCGGCCCGTGACAATAGAGGCGATCTCCCTTTCAGAGCTTCTATTCTCCCGCGATAATGCCTCTCGTTCACAAAAGAGCTCGCCCTGAAACACGATCCCGCTCGGGGTGTTTCTGCATGGCTTCAGACAGCGAGCGAGAGTGGAGACTCCCAGAGACACGGGACAGACCTCAGCGGATCTCCAGCTCAACTCAAACATTTCTCATCAAATCATCTGAGCAGCTCCTACGGCTGGATGATTCATCGAAAAATAGTCGAAACTGAATATCATAGCCTATAACCGGCGTGATTTTACCATGTTGGTTTTTTCGGTTTTTAAATACTATTAATAAATCCGCCCACTGTATGTTAACGTACTTTCCCCTTAAACGTAGTAGTCACGTAACTCCGCCCTGTCCAGTCTGCAACACTGAATCAACATGAGCCCCTTTCACACAGCGCGTCGATCCCGGTAAAAATTGCCAGAACAAACATCTTCTGTGTGAACGCAAACACGGCCCGGGACTGGTGTCAGGTTGGGGACGGAGTTACATTGCCGTGTTCTGTCCTAAAACACACGCTGTCAATGCCGTGTCGTAACGATCACGCTTAAGCCAGGATCGTTCGCCAGAGTGAAACGGTACGTAATGCGCTAGTTTATGATCGAATCAGAGGAAAAAAAGTTTCTTTTATTTGTGTTTTCAGCGGATGTTATCTGGGAATAATACACAGCTGGATGGAGCGATTAACCAATCAGAATCAAGTATTGCAGAGCCGTGTAATAAGACAGATTAATATCTGATCAGTGTATAACAGCAGATACAAACCGTAATGCAGTGTGTGTGTGTGTGTGTGTGTGTGTCTTTGGGGCACCATATTTCCCAGCATGAATGGAGCTGCTCTCTGATTGGCTGTCTAGATGCACAGGATTCTGGACGCTCTTAAGTGTGTCTCGAGGGCCCTACAGAGGGGCCGACCCGCGGACCACCGCTGAAGCCGCTTTTACTGTCGTCTGGGTGACACGGTTTACAAACACACAAACACGACTAATATCCATTAAAACAACATCCCTCAGCGCGAGACAGCAGCCGATTAGCGATTCCTGCACCGCGTCCAACATCAACGACACATGCTAACACACACACTCACTAGCTGAAGTAATATAAGCTTCTTTAATGTTTTATTTCATTTCAGTAAGCGTTTATTTTATTTGAAGTAACGTAATGTTTTGGTGGTGTTAGTTTTAGATAACAGGCCTGATTGCGGCTGAGACTGAGTCTGTTCGAATGTGGGTTAATTTAACAGGGAATTGGAGACTCTGAATCAATATGAAATGATTTTATCGGAGCATCCTACAATACGTGTGAGCTCTGGGTGGATAATGAACACGAGACGCCTCCATATTAAAACACACTCTGATAAAATGAAACACAATCCTGTGGGATTAAACTCAGCGGCCCAGGATTCTGAACCAGGACAATGGTGCCGTCTGAAGGGATATTTACAAGATTTACAGCCCAAATCTGATGGAAGGCAGGCGAAGGTCGGCCTGGCCCCTTTACACACACACACAGAAGAATGAATGAATCAGACTGTTTCCATGGCTGTGAGACTTTAAAAGAGAGAGACACAAAGAGAGAGAGAGAGAGAGAGAGAGAGAGAAAGAGAGAGAGAGAGAGCGTGTGAGATGTGCCGCCCACTGCCGTATCACATTCAGGCCTATCTTCACCACTACAGCTAAAGGCATTTCTGTTACTTCAGGAAAAATAAACATTAACTCTTTAACATTTAAAAATCTTTAACTTTTATTTCAGCTATAGTTGCCAAGGCCACTTTTCTAAACGTTAAACGTTCACCCAAAAATGAAAATTGTGTCAGTATTTACTTGCCCTCATGTTGTTCCAACCCCGTAAGACCTTCGTTCATCTTCGCAACACAAATTACGATATTTAAGATATTAAGATCGCTCCTGCATACGAGTCCATAGGCTTCTTGAGGGAATGACTCGAAAAGTCATTAAAGACATCGTTAAAATAGTCCGAGTGACTACAGGGGCTCAATCTTAACTTTATCAAACGACGAGAACACTTTTTGTGCGTAGTGTAGTGTGATTGCGTAAAGCTGCGTCACACGAAGGCTCACTATTAGCCGACGCTGGTCATGTGTGTGATGCGTGTGACGTACAATAACAGAAGCTTACGCTATTAAACTAGTAACCTGACTCGCGCAGAGGGAGAAATAAACCAATAGTTGAAATAAAGTCGTTATTTTTGTTTTTTTGCGCACAAAAAGTGTTCTCTTCGTTTGATAAAGTTAAGATTGAGCCCCTGTAGTCACTTGGACTATTTTAACGATGTCTTTAATGACTTTTCGAGGCCAGCAAGAGTCATTCCCTCAAGAAGCCTATGGACTAGTATGCAGGAGCGATCTTAATATCTTAAATATCTTAATTTGTGTCCCGAAGATGAACGAAGGTCTGACGGGGTTGGAACAACATGAGGGCGAGTAAATACTGACAGAATTTTCATTTTTGGGTGAACTAACCCTTTAATACACAAAATACTGTGTTTCTAAACACAGGAAAACAGAAACCACAAGAAACAACTTTAGAGTCCATGAAAACAAAACAAAAACAAACTAAACGTGACAAGTATTGATGCTATAAAAACAAAAACCAATGTAAAACGGTGCTGACGAACATCTGTGCCGCGCGCAGGATTCAGCGATGATGATTAAAGGAGCTCTAATGACCCCAGATGCTGAGGTGAGACTGAGATCAAGGCACAGGTTCTGATCAAACACGACTGCGCCTCAGATCACCATCCACTGCTCATGAATATTCAAACGCAACACACATGCGAGCAGCACAGTAATTATTTACATCTGTCCGACATCAGTTCGTTCATTCCCTGGGAATCTGATACTCAAAGCTCACACACACACTCTCCTCAAGCAAACTTCTTTTCTTATTGTCTGTGGTTTGTTCTGTTGTTATGAGAGGGTGGAGCTGAATATCACATGACATAAACACTCATGCAGATGTACCGATACGAAGACTGCGAGAGCTGAATCCTGCGACTTCCTGAGAACGAGTGAAGTGTGTTTTAATGACGAGAGTATCGGGACTCTGGAGTTAACTAACAACATGATGTTACTCTGATTTGATGTTTCAGAGATGTGGAACTGCTTTAGATCAGATTTCACTGATATTACACTATTTTTTAAGTGCAGGCCGTCTGCGGTTCAGGAATGGGTTAATCATTTTTCCATTCTGTCTCTGTAAATCGGTCCATTTTCTGCCCGTCATTGATTTTCTTTATTTCTCTCTCTCACAGCAGATGTGTGGATGGATGGACGGGATTCAGGGGTAAAAGCTTCGATCGGACTAAAGCACTTTCTGAATGTGGAGCGGGTCACAGTTCATGTGATGCTTAACCTGAAAAACAATCCCATGTCTGTGACAAATGACTAGTAACACATCAAGAACAAGACTAGCTAGTCCATGATGTGAAGAGAAATACGTCTAAAATGCCGTCTGCATCTGCTCCGTCAGCTCGAGTCCACGGATGCAGAAATCTGCATATTCATTGACAATCACCGAGAGCTGAGCGTTATTATGCATGAATATGTCTGACACCATCAACATGAAAAATGGCTCACTGAGTTTAATAAAGAGCAGATGCAGATGCAGTCAGACATGAACACACACCATCAGCAGAATCAAACAGCTCAGACTGAGGCATCTCAAGATCGAGATCAAGTGTTCGCCA